TACATGAGACAAGTGCTCGGGCCTGGTGCACTGGGAAGACCCAGAGGGATCGGGTGGAGAGGGAGGTGGGAGGGGGGACTGGGATGGGGAATACATGTAAATCCATGGCTAATTCATATCAATGTATAACAAAAACTACTGTAATGATGTAAAGTAATTAGCCTCCAACTAATAAAAATTTAAAAAAAAAAATGCCCTATCACTCCTGGTCTTAGTTCTCAGGGGTACTGAATTCTGTCTCTGGAGCTGCTTTCAGTCCTTGCCTGGGTCCCATAGATTCCTTTGTACTCAAGGTGGGGGTGGTAGTTGTCTGTGCCTGGTTTTCAAACTGACAGCTGATGAAATCTACAATGTTAAGAGACCCTGATACTGGGAAAGACTGATACAGGAGGAGAGGGGATGACAAAGGATGAGATGGTTGGATGGCATCATGGACTCAATGGACATGAGTTTGAGCAAACTCCAGGAGATGGTCAAGGAAAGGGAAGCCTAGTGTGCTGCGGTCCATGGGGTCACAGAGTTGGACACAACTGAGTGACTGAACAACAGAAATGTTAAGACGTTCAATACACAATTAAGATGCCGATACACAACTCTTCGGCGCAGGAGCACATAAGCAGCTCCTGTCATTCTGAAATGCTTTTCCTGACTCTCACCTTAGGATATCCTGGCCTGCAGGTTTCTACCACCTAAGTCTTTGCTATTTGCCACTCTCCCCAGTTTTGATTTCTTCCCATTTAACTAGCTTTCCTATGATCTACGACTTCAGGCTTGTCTTGACCTGGAGCACATTACTCTTTGATCCCATGCTTAGCTTTGAAATCCAAACAGAAAAATAGTGACTTTAAACAGCATTTCATTTGAAACACACTGTTTTTTTTAATCTTAATCATATTTCCTTTTTCCAAGAAAATATAAAATAAGGCATTTTGATAAAATGTTCTGAAATTTAAATTTTCTTTCGAGTTAACATTAACCAAACTAACTTGCTAATATTGTTTGGTAATGTTAATATTTAATATTTTCCTCTATTTGGATCTTAAATCACTATTTATCAACTTACATTTTATTCCAGAACAGTAAAGACTGTAAGATGTGAGGAGGGAGAGGAAGGGACACAGAAAGAAGGAGTGAACCGTAACTGCTCCAGTGACAAAAGGAATGGTAGACATGGCAGGAAACTGAGCTGGAGAAAATTTTACTAGTTGTCCTTAGGTTGCCAGAAACACTGTTAAGATAGTTGTTTTGGTTAATTTCAAGATAATCCACTTCTAGACTTAGTGAGCGGAAACATGTAAAGTTTATTTTTTGCTGGTCACCAACCAACCCAGTTCAGATACCAATTTTTATTTGAAAATCATTTAACTGAAATTAGTCCAGGACACAGTTCCAAAACTCCCACTTTCACCTCTCTCTCTTTTCTTGGGATTCAATAAGACAATGCTTCTCAGCCTTAAAAGACTCAGAATTTAAAAAAAAAAAAAAAAGACTCAGAATTTTAGGAAAATTTACATTTTAGTCCTAACTTAGGTAATTCTATTGTCAAAATATTCAGAAGATAATATAAAGCTAATTCAGTTTATTGATTTTAACACAGAACTAACTGCTCTTCCATAGACTGGAAGACAACAGCCTTAAGTCCAAAAGGAGCCTTCCACTTGTTTTAGTTTTGTCCTAATTTTGAAAAACTGCCTGACAGAGGTTTTGGGTGAAATAATCCAAACTGAAAACAGAAATTGATATAGAGGTCATCCACAGAATTCAGTCTGAATTCAGAAATACCAGTGGGGACCTAAACTAACCTGCTTCCTGTCTTTATCATGGCCAGGACATCCAGTACCAAAACTGGCCTGAGCTTCCCCAGGGAGCAGAGAGAAGAGTTACAGGTGAAGAAATTGCAGGATTCCAAAGAAATGCAACAGTGATTTGACTTCAAGACAGTTGGGTGTTCAAGGAAAGAAAAAAAAAAAAAAAGAAACAAAATTTCAGTCTTAATTGGAAGAAAAAGTTTTGGGATCTACTTAGAGGAGTTTTTATCATCCCATGACTGGTTTAACACAACTCTTTCTCCTTGGATCAGGGTGATATGTTCAATTTCTATTTCTTCTCTCAGATTTTGAGATCAGGAGAGAAAGGAGAGAAAATGAAGAAGCTTCTTCAAAGTAGAAAAAGAAAAAACAACCTGTGAACTCTGCATTCATTCAGTTACTTTTATTTTTTTTTTTCCATTTATTTTTATTAGTTGGAGGCTAATTACTTTACATCATTGCAGTGGTTTCTGTCATACATTGAAATGAATTAGCCATGGATTTACATGTATTCCCCATCCCGGTCCCCCCTCCCACCTCCCTCTCCACCCGATCCCTCTGGGTCTTCCCAGTGCACCAGGCCCGAGCACTTGTCTCATGCACCCAACCTGGGCTGGTGATCTGTTTCACCCTAGATAATATACATGTTTTGATGCTGTTCTCTTGAAACATCCCACCCTCACCTTCTCCCAGAGTCCACAAGTCTGTTCTGTTCATTCAGTTACTTTTAAAGGGAATGTGTCCCACAGTTCTATTTTACACAAAGAAAAAGACTAAAAACATTTAGAAAGTTAGCATGGAAATCCCCAAAGCTTACAGATCATCATAACCACTCTACAGAGAGAGGAAACCCTAAGAGCTCCAACCTGGAAGAACCTCTCAACATCGTAAGACCTACTGAGCACCAGAGGATTCATTCAGAAAAGGAGCCTCACAAGTGCCCTGGCTGTTAGAGAAGCGTCCTTCATTCAGACATTGACAGATACTGACATCTCCACATAGGAAAGAGACCCCATGAATGCACTATAGTTTATGAAAAGCGATTTAACAGTGTGTTTTAAGAATATTTAAAATATTTCCTTTTTTTTTTTTTTTTTAGAAAATATTTCTCCCGCACAGCATGTGGGATCTTAGTTCCCCAACCAGGGATCAAACCCATGTGCCCTGTAACCACTGGACCACCAGGGAAGTCCCTATTTCACCTCTTTTATCAAGCAGTTCCACATCTGAGAAACAATTCTGAGGGGAGAAAACAAAAACAGAATTGCAACAATAAAAATATAGTCATTACATAAACATACACAGATCCTCCAGTGGTTCCCCACTGCCCTGATAATAAAGCACAGATTCCTCAACAAAGCTGTAAAGACCTTCAAGGTGCAGGCACTGAACTGTGGCAACAAGCACTGCAGCTGACCCTGCCCCTTCCCCAAGTCATATTTCTTGGGGCTCCCTGTTTCGTTTGGCTTCCCAGGTGGCGCCAGTGGTAAAGAATCCACCTGCCAATGCAGGGAGACGCAGAGATGAGGGTTCCATCCCTGGGTCAGGAAGATTCCCTGGAGAAGGAAATGGTAACCCACTCCAGTATTCTTGCCTGGAAAATTACATGGACAGAGGAGCCTGGTGGGCTATATATAGTCCATGGGGTCGCAAAGAGTCGGACATGATTGAGCCCACACCTGAAGCCTCCCTGATCCCGCGCCTGCTCAGCCTGGTAGTTAGACCAACTGTCGCCACTCCTTGCCTGAATAAAGGTAACCTGTCTCGGTTGAGGTAGTCTTCCTTTCTTCATTGCCTTGTCTCGAACTACACATTTTTGGTGCCAAAACCCGGGAGAGGGCGAGGCACTCACCTATCTCTCACTCTGTTGTTTTCCCCTATCCCAGAGCCTGGAATTGTGAGCGGTGCAAGCCTTGTCCTATTATCGGTAACTTATGTACCCCCAGGCCTCCAGCTCTATCCCCCTCCTCTCTCTGATGACCTCCAGAACAGGGAACTCTTGCCATTTGACCGCTCCGCATCCAACATTCCACTCACTCCAGCCCCTAGATTGAGGTAAGATCCAGATAGTGTTCTAGAGGTACCTAGAATACTATCCTCTCCAGGTCTTGGGGACCCCCAGCCTAAGGCCACTCTGCAAGCGACAGTGGGGGACCCTGCGCCTCGATACAGAGCTCTCTTCTCATAACTCCTATTGTGACTGCGGGTGACGACCCAAACTCAAAATAGGAGCCTCTGCTTGCCTCCCAATCATGGGGTCTGGCCAATCTATCCCAAAAGAGTCCCCTCTAGCCTGGGTCCTCAAAAATCTCAAACCACTCTTACTGAACTCAAAGCTAGCTGCTTAGAACGGCTCCGCATACAGATCTGGCCTCAGTACCAACTGGACAATCGAAACCACTGGCCTGAATTCGGCCCATTTGACTTGTACATTCTTCAAGATCTCACTAACTTCCTTAAACGGAATGGCAAGTGGTCGGATGTCCCCTATGCCCAAGCCTTTTGGGCCCTTCAGAGCAGGCCCTCCCTATGCAAGGCCTGCTCCACCCACAAGTTCCTTCTATGCACCTTGCTTCCCAAACAAAAGGACCCCTCTTCTTCAACTAAACGCCGATCGCGACCTTCCGCACCCCCAGGAGTTTGACCCCGTGGACAAGCCCCCTCCTTACCAGCCACACCATCAAACCCCTGCTTCCCTCTCACTGAACTCACCTACTGACTTCAAAACCTCTCCTGAGTCTTCCTCAACCCCGCTACCCCATTCCTCCAATTCCCCCTCCCATCTTCCCTCCCCCGCTGCCAGGTGATCACGTACCAAACACGTTTCCCCTAAGAGAGGTGGTGGGACCAGAGGGCCCCTCTGAAGTCCATGTGCCATTTTCATTGTCAGACATGAGCCAGATAGAAGAAAAGTTAGGATCATTTTCTGAAAACCCTACCAGATACAGAAAAATAATTCCTGAGGCTCACCCAGGCCTATAACCTCACACAGAGTGATGTATATTATATCCTAGGTGTCACTCTCACTTCAGATGAAAAAGATCGTATCTGGCAAGTGGCGAAAGCCCACACTGATCACTTAAATAACCAAGACCAGGCTAACCCAGTTGCTGATGAGGTGGTGCCTCAATTAGAACCCCACTGGACATACCAGCCCAGTGACCCAGGCATTAGGAGACTCAATCACATGATCACCTGCCTCCTAGAGGGCATCCATGTCAATTATGATAGGGAAGTCATCCAAGGGATGGAGGAAAATCCAGCCTTATTCTTGACACGCCTCACCGAGGCGGTCATATATACCAACCTAGATATCACCACCCCTGCTGGGTTACTCTACCTTCATGTTCAATTCATCAGCCAGTTCGCCCCTGACATTAGATGCAAGCTTCTACAACTAGAGAAGGGCCCCGAGACCTCCCGAAGAGACCTTCTGGAAGTAGCCTTCAAGGTGTTCAATAATAGGAGGAGGCTAGGAGAGAAAACGCTGGGCTGGAAGAAGCACAAGCTGGAATGAAGATTGCCGGGAGAAATATCAATAACCTCAGATATGCAGATGACACCATCCTTATGGCAGAAAATGAAGCTGAACTAAAGAGCCTCTTGATGAAAGTGAAAGAGGAGAGTGAAAAAGTTGACTTAAAGCTCAACATTCAGAAAACTAAGATAAAAAGAAAAAGAAAAAGAAAACTGAGATCATGGCATCTGGTCCCATCACTTCATGGGAAATAGATGGGGAAACAGTGGAAACAGTGTCAGATTTTATTTTGGGGGCCTCAAAATCACTGCAGATGGTGACTGCAGCCATGAAATTAAAAGACACTTACTCCCTGGAAAGAAAGTTATGACCAACCAAGATAGCATATTAAAAAGCAGAGACATTATTTTGCCAACAAAGATCCCTCTGGTCAAGGCTATGGTTTTTTCAGTGGTCATGTATGGATGTGAGAGTTGGACTGTGAGGAAAGCTGAGCACCGAAAAATTGATGCTTTTGAACTGTGGTGTTGGAGAAGACTCTTGAGAGTCCCTTGGACTGCAAGGAGATCCAACCAGTCCATCCTGAAGGAGATCAGTCCTGGGTGTTCATTGGAAGGACTGATGCTGAAGCTGAAACTCCAACACTTTGGCCACCTCATGGGAAGAGTTGACTCATTGGAAAAGACCCTGATGCTGGGAGGGGATTGGGGGCAGGAGGAGAAGGGGACGACAGAGGAGGAGGTGGCGGGATGGCATCACCGACTTGATGGGCATGAGTTTGAGTAAACTCCGGGAGTTGGTGATAGACAGGGAGGCCTGGCGTGCTGCAATTCATGGGGTCACAGAGTCAGACACAACTGAGCTGAACTGAACTGAGGAGAGAAAAAGACCGTGAGAGAAAAGCTAAATCTGCCTTTTTGGTGGCAGCAATTAAGGGAAGAGATCAACCCAGCCCAAGTCATCCCAGACCAGGGCTTAAGATCCCCCCGCAGACCCTGCTTCTGATGCAACCAATCGGGACACTGGGCAAAGGTATGCCCAAACCCACAGCCCCCCACAAAGGTGTGCCCAACCCGTGGCCAGTGGGGACACTGGAAGATGGATTGTCCCCAGGGATGCCCTGGTGCCCCTGGGGAGGTCCCTACCCCAGACTTGGAAGATGGATTGTCCCCATGGATGCCCTGGTGCCCCTGGGGAGGTCCCTACCCCAGACTTGGAAGATGGATTGTCCCCATGGATGCCCTGGTGCCCCTGGGGAGGTCCCTACCCCAGACTTGGAAGATGGATTGTCCACAGGGATGCCCTGGTGCCAGGTCCCTATCCCCCAGACTTGGAAGATGGATTGTCCCCAGGGATGCCCTGGTGCTCCTGGGGAGGTCCCTACCCCCCAGACTTGGAAGCCCTGGTGCCAGGTCCCTATCCCCCCAGACTTGGAGGATGGAATGTCCACGGGGACACTCTGGTGCCCCTGAGGAGGTCCCCACTTCTCTCCCAAACCCCAGCCCAACTCTACGAGAGTTGTTCCAATGACGGGACCCAGGTTCCAGCCCCCTGGCCCATGTCCCGGACATGGGCTCGGAACTTAGGGTAGACAGGATAGTGACTGGGGAAAAGATCTCCTTCCTAGTAGACACTGGAGCTACCTCCTCTCTCTTAACCTCCTACTC